CAAGAATTCGTGATTTACCTTCTAAGCTGGATTCATTATGCAATCTATTTACCCACAAGGTATGCCTGAATCCATATAATTTTTCGGTTGTGTATATAATATTATATTCCTGTCATTAGTATCAAAACTATTATTAGAGTGTTTTCATACTATTGAATATTTATAAAATTAATATTTTATGTTAATATATATATATATATATATATTATTTTTGTTTGCATAAAATATTATTTTTTGTTCAAAAATGATTTTATCCGATTTTTTTTGTCTACAATTAAATTTACATATATAATATTTATAAAATTACATTAATAGATGGTGAATCATTGTTTGTAATTTTATGTTTTAAAATTATTAGATATTAATGAAAAGGTTAGATTACAAATACACCCTCTGAGGTTTACTTAAAATATGAATTATCCGTTGTGGTTTGGAAAATTACAAATACCTCTCTGTCAAAATTTTTTATTTAACAGAATTAATTGAAAAATTGAAATTTCTAACTTTTCACCTATACAATAATAAAATTATCTAAATTATTAATTGAAATAAAATTTTAACATTATTAAAAACTGTTAATTAACTTGATGATTTATTAATAAAAAGACCTATTTTTTATAAAATTAGAAACCTTAGAGGGCATAATATAATTTCTAAAATTACATGACATAATTCGTAATTGGCAGTGGCTTTGGTCCAGTCCAAGATCGGACTGGACCGTGTTGTTGGGCCCGTGTGGGCCCACCACAGGTCCTGTTTTGATAATCCGACCGTTCATTATGTAGAAATCGCCGAGTACTATATGTCTGTAAAAAATCACATTGATCGGATATCGATAGCTATGTGAACAAAACAGTTTCTTATCAACCGTTAATTGTTTCACCGCCCTTTTTTTTATACAAAGCTGATTTGATCACATAGCTATTGATATCCGATCAACGTGATTTTTTACAAGCATGTAGTACTCGACGAGTTCTACACATTGAACGGTTCAAATTATCAAAACGGGCCCAAAAAAAAGGCCCCATGGGCCGAATTGGACGGGTCCAGTCTTGATCTCAACTTGAGACAAGCTGGACCCTTTGTAATTTAAGTAAATTTCAAAGAGTGTGTTGGTAACAGCGCGACAGACGCTGCTGACATCACGCGACCGTGAGCATTCTTACACGCGCTGACCACGTGGTGCAGAAGCTGGGATTAAGATTTGTTAGGTTCTGTTTATTTGTTTTAATTTATAAAATAACATTAATCACTATGCTTGGTTATCATTTTTCAAAAATATTTTTCAGAAAATTTTACTTTTTTATTTTTCATATTTTTTTGTTTTTATTGAATTTTTTTAATATTTTGAACAATTTTTTTTAATTTTTAAAACATACCTAACATACATATACCTAAAAAGAAAAAAAAAAAAAAAAAATTGAAAAAAAAACTTTTAAAAATTCACTAAATACCAAAAATACAAAAAAAAATACTAGAATTCAGTACATTTTTTTGTATTTTTATGTGTTTATTAATTTTTAAAAATATTTTTTCACAAATTTTTTACTTTTTAGATACATCTAAGGTCTATCTAAAAAAGTAAAAAAAAAATGTTTAACATTTTAAAAATATTCACTAAAAACAAAAAAAAAAACACTAAAACCAAAAAAGTCAATTTTCAAAAAAATTTAATTCAAAAAACTTAAACCAAACACACTGAATTTTTTTAAAATATTCGTTATAATTTCATTTTAAGTATGGCTAGTATGGTTAGTTTTGTAATTATTTTTTCTACAATATGAATAAATTTCAGATTTTCTAAAATGAAATATTTTTTCCAAGTTATTAATTTAATGTTTCTATATTAAAATGTTTCTATGCTTGTATAATTAATTTTTCGGACTTGAATTTTTTGTATAAGAATACTGAAATCATATGGCATTTATTGATATAAGAGTTATATTGTTTCAGTTGATAGAAGAGTTATATTGTTTCAGTTTCTGAAATATTTATTTCTGCTTTCTGTGTATTATTTAATTAAGGAAATCTCATAAAAATTCAGAAAAATTCTGAAATTTATTTTTTTCTATTTAGAATATTCTAAATGCCAGGAACATTATGATTATTTTTTTATATGTTAGAATTCGTATTGTTATCTCCGAAGCATGATTAATATTTAATTAGAATTTTATGATAAAATGTTGTTTAACATTTTTCGAATTGTAATATCATATTGAGATGCTCGTATGTGAATTTTTCAAATCATGCTTATTACATGTCATATGTACTGGTGCATTAAATTGAATTGAATGTTTGATATAAATTGCTAGAGGCACAAGAAATGATTATAAGTTTAGCGAATTTTTTATATTGCGACATGTGCATTTTTTTAATTAGAATTTAATTTGAATTTATGTGGAAAAATTATTCTATATTGTGCTAAAATTTTATCACATGGGCATTTTTTCTTTGGATATAGTTAACTCTGACAGTAAAAGAAATCGTAGAGGATTTGACTATGGAAGAAAAGCTGGATGGCAATAACTATGACATATGGCGCTATAAGATCCACTATCTCATGAATGAGCAAGAGGTCTTGGAGACTCTTGAGCAAGTGATGGCTAAGCATGAGCAAGAAACTACAGCTTAACATTGTCGTGATCTTGAGGCCTATCAACAATGGCATAACAAAGATTGATGTGCGCGCTTTACGATGTTAAGCAACATGCATAATGATGTGATAGAAAGTTTCAAGGTTCCTTCATTGGTTTTGAAATGAGGGAGGCTTGCAAATAGAAATTCGAAATCACCTCTTTGTCTAAGTTGCGCGGATTGACTAGGAAATTTTATTCCTATCAGGAAAAGGCTCATCATTCAATGAAGCAACATCTAAGGGGGTTGTCAACCATGATACGTGAGCTGGCAGCAGCAAGTCATAATCTGACACAAGAGCAACAAGTTCAAGTAGTGATTCACTTCCATCCTCATTCTTGGGAAGAAATGAAGCGTCATATGATACACAATGAAAATGCTAAAACATTTAAGGAAATATCACATCATTTGGAGCTTGAAACTGAGCGCCTAAAGGCGGCTAAATTTGATGGCACTGCTCTTGTTGCTGAGCCCCTCTATGCCAAGAGCCAAATGCCCGACGCGAGTTAGACTCAGCAGCAAGAGCAATGCCATCAAATTTAGCTGCCACTAGGCGCTCAGCTTCAAGCTCCAAATGCCGTGATATGTCCTCATATGTTTTAACGTTTCATTATGTGTCATATGACACTTCATATCTTCCTAAGAATGAGGATGAGAGAAAGTCATTGTCTGAATTTGTTGCTCGTGTCAAATTATGACCTGATGCCGCTAGCTCGTGTATCATAGTTGACATCACCCTCCTATGCTACTTCATTAAATGATGCACCTTTTTCTGATAGGAATCAAATTTCATGGTTAACTTGTGCAACTTAACCAAAGAAGTGATGTTGAATTTCTATTTGAGAGCCTCCTATATTTCAAAAGCATTCAAGGAACCTTCAAACTCTGGTACCAAGTCATTATGCATGTTGTTTAACATCATAAAGCGCACGCATTGATATTTGTTGCACTATTTTTGATAACCCTCAAGATCACGATGATGCTAAGCTATAGTGTCTTGCTTTAGCTCAGAGATCACTTGCTCAAGAGTCTTCAAGGCCTCTTTCTCATTCAGGTGATACTAAATCTTATAGCGCCATATGTCATAGTTATCACCATCCTGCTTTTCTCTCTTAGTCAAATTAGCTACAATGCCTTTTGCTGCCATAGTTAACTACATCCAAAGTAAAATGCACAAGGGATAAAATTTTAGCACAATACAAAATAAATTTTCTTCATAAATTCAAATAATATTTTGACAAAAATTGCACATGTCATAAGATCAAAAATTCGCTAAGCTTATAATCATCTCTTGCGTCTCTAGTAATTTTATCAAACATTCAATTCAATTTAATGCACAAAAAACAAATAGGTTTATAAAAAGAATAATCCTCCAGTACATATGACATGTAATAAGCATGATTTGAAAAATTCACATACGAGCATCTCAATATGATATTACAATTCGAAAAATGTTAAACAACATTTTATCATAAAATTCTAATTAATATTAATCATGCTTTGAAGATAACAACATGAGTCGTAACATATAAAAAATTAATCATCATGTTCTTGACATTTAGAATATTCTAAGCAGAAGAGAATAAATTTTAGAATTTTTCTAGAATTTTTTGTAATTTTCTGAGATTGTTTTAATTAAATAATACACAAAAAAATACATATTTCAGAAACCAAAATAGTATATGCCGTTGCCCCAGATGGGCGTCACATTTCAGCAATAGTTTCATCCTGAGCAGCGATTCTTTAATTCAGTGTATCCATGGTTTTTTTAAAAGCTGCCATCATAGCAGCAACCTCCTCTAGACTACTGTGTGCCATTACGTGTCTGGGAGAGTTAGCTATTGGTGAGCTGAGTGGGTGAGAACGGACAAGCGACTGCTGAGTGCTCTGTTCTGGCGAAAACTGACTGGTTCTTCTCTTCCGAACAATTGGTAGGAGAGAGACTAACGCTGGTTGACCATCAACTAGATCTTGAATTTTGCAAAGCCTACTAGAGCGAGTCCACCCCAATCCTAATTTTTTCCTACACACTAATTTATACAATTTTTTAATACATATTTTCTATAAAAGTCAAAAAGTTAACCCATACATCTATATTTTTTTTTTCAAATTTTTAATCTAAAAAAATAAAAAGTACACCTATTTAAAACACCCCAAACAACCACTTAAAGCCACTGCCACTCCAACCCTTCCTACAACTTTCCCTATAGGCCCCTTCACTACAAACACCTACCCTATTTTTGAAGACTAAACAACCAGTCATCACACCCCAATCGACAACTAAACGACCAATCACCAATCCCAAATCGTCAACCCATCAACAAATCAAAACCACCAAATCAATAGTGCATGACGACCAAAACGAGTCCGGATCTTCTGCCATACATTCCTGCCATACATTCCTGCAGTGCTATACAAAACGACGTCGTCTTGGCGTTAAATTCAAATTTTTTTTTTTTTTTCCATTTCTCTCTCAATCGTTGAGACAGCCCTAACCCTTCAAGAGTGAGCCGACTCGAACGGTTCCTCTGACGCAGAGGAGGGTGAGCAACGACGACTCCGGAGGCGACAGCGGCTGCAGCTGGGCGAGGTGAGGCGGCTTGACTTGTGGGTATTGTTTAATTGCTTGTTTTGATTTGTTTTATTTTAAAGGGTTTGATCCTCTTGGATCACTGGTATTCTTTTTTATTTATTTATTTTTTTGTGTATCTTCATCTGATTGAATTTGTTGAGATAAATATAGAAGATGTGGAATATGAATTGAAATTGGGTTTGGGTGGAAGCTTTGAGAAATGGAATCAATACATGGGGGATATATATACGAAATAGATTGTATATACAAAATATTAGTGAGATTTCTCTTTGGCTACAACTTCTTGTTCTCATTCCACTCTATGAAAATAGATTGTATATACAAAATTTATAGTCTTGTCCTGAAAATTGTCTTTGGCTACAACTTCTTGTTCTCATTCCACTCTATGAAAATAGATTGTATATACAAAATTTATAGTCTTGTCCTGAAAATTGTCTTTGGCTACAACTTCTTGTTCTCATTCCACTCTATGAAAATAGATTGTATATACAAAATTTATAGTCTTGTCCTGAAAATTGTCTTTGGCTACAACTTCTTGTTCTCATTCCACTCTATGAAAATAGATTGTATATACAAAATTTATAGTCTTGTCCTGAAAATTGTCTTTGGCTACAACTTCTTGTTCTCATTCCACTCTATGAAAATAGATTGTATATACAAAATTTATAGTCTTGTCCTGAAAATTGTCTTTGGCTACAACTTCTTGTTCTCATTCCACTCTATGAAAATAGATTGTATATACAAAATTTATAGTCTTGTCCTGAAAATTGTCTTTGGCTACAACTTCTTGTTCTCATTCCACTCTATGAAAATAGATTGTATATACAAAATTTATAGTCTTGTCCTGAAAATTGTCTTTGGCTACAACTTCTTGTTCTCATTCCACTCTATGAAAATAGATTGTATATACAAAATTTATAGTCTTGTCCTGAAAATTGTCTTTGGCTACAACTTCTTGTTCTCATTCCACTCTATGAAAATAGATTGTATATACAAAATTTATAGTCTTGTCCTGAAAATTGTCTTTGGCTACAACTTCTTGTTCTCATTCCACTCTATGAAAATAGATTGTATATACAAAATTTATAGTCTTGTCCTGAAAATTGTCTTTGGCTACAACTTCTTGTTCTCATTCCACTCTATGAAAATAGATTGTATATACAAAATTTATAGTCTTGTCCTGAAAATTGTCTTTGGCTACAACTTCTTGTTCTCATTCCACTCTATGAAGGGGCCCAACATATCTCATAGCACCTTCAGCTGAATTAATTTCTCCATATATGGGCAACAAATTTGGTCTTCTATGCAGCTTGCAGAAAACTCTTGTACCAACTGATGCTTTTTTTTACCTTCTTATCTATATATTTTTTGTAATTATTTCTTTTCTTGTCTATTCACTCATCAATCTCTAGGTCCATTTTAGTGATGGCTGAACCTATGAATTTTCTGTTTCTTAACTACCTTGCATAAAACATGATAAAGCTTGTGTGTTCACATTATTGCTTTGTGAACCTACACATCTGGGAATTCATTGCCAATTACATTAACAAATCTGTATTTTGAGATTGAAACTTAACCTAGAACTTGCAGCATATTGATTCTGTTTTCGGAAGACATTTAACTTTTCCAGAAAGAAAGGGGAGATTACTTGACAATACTGATGAGTTTGCTCTGATGTGTAAATTTGAGCTCTTTTTTTTTTTTCTTCTTTTTTTTTGCAGGGTTGCAGCCCAACAAAGTGTACTATTTATCAATGTGGAGTTCTATACCAGCAATGAGTAATGTGTCCTACAAATGCAACACAAAGAAGTGATGGAATTATAGGAGAAAGAGTTGTGCTATTGCAAAGTGAACTTGTAAGAATCTGAGAGTGTTAGTGGACAACTTTGATTTTTGACCACGAAGATGCAACAAGCAATAAACCTTTGAATGTGTAATTGGTGTTACTTGTAATTGCTATTATTTTAATTATGAAGTAACTACGTTTCAATGTTGTAATTGACTAGTTTGATTTTTGGAATGGTTGGGAATATAGAACTTTTGAAATTTGTGAAATTTGAAATGCTGTTGCTATTATTGAAATAGTTGGGAATTTAGAGATTTCGAAAAATGTTAATTTTGAAATGCTGTTGTTGCTATTATTGAAATGGTTGAGAATGTATGTCAGTGTTGTTCTTGCCATCTTGACAAATATTAAGTCTTTTTTATGATTGTCCAATACATAGATGAAATGCCATAGAAACAACCAAGCTCACTCCAAGTGAGAATTTTAATGGAAAAAACAAACAGTCCAGTTTAATGTTGGAAAACTTGAGCACTCTACATCCTTAGTTTATCATTCAATCAATTAACACAATGTTGAAATCAATTAACATCAAGGCAATTAAACCGAAACATTATGTCAATTAACATAATAAAGCTGAAATCAATTAACATTCAATCAATTAATTGTTCATATCAAGGCAAAGATGAAGATAGAAAGATAAAGCAAAGGCCAAAGATATGTGACAGACTAAATTTTTTAATAAAACAATGATATATAACAAACCTGTTCTACAAATCTCATTCAGTCATAATCAAAATTGCATAAAAATATATGACAGACTAAATTTTTTTTTATTAAACAATTTCCTATGACTCATTCAAATTTGCAATTCCATTAATACAATAGAAGTAGAAAAATGAGAAAAATAAAAACTATGAAAATGATATTTTCCAAAATTGCTTCGTTTCACATGAATATCATCAGAAGATTGTTTCAACCAGTTAGCATCAGTAACTTGAACGAAACATGCTTGGAGATCAACGACGACGACGCTTGATCATGAAATGAATTGATGACGATGAATCGTAGTTGATATGAGAAGCAGCAATCCTTATGCAGATGCTCCATTTTGTTGCTATCACGGAGTCGTCAAGACCCTAGAGAGAAAAGAAACAGGGTTTTCATGGCCGCATAGAGTATGTTCCACTGTCAAATTACCTTGGTTGGGCACCTGTATTCAATGATAGAAGTGAGGACGAGTCAAAAAATGAAAATTTTCAGCGGGTTTATATCGAATCATACCCGTCTCTTAGTCAATCAATTAATATAAACACGTCTTTCTCATCTACCTAATTTATCATGTTCATTCATTAATTCATCTAACCAAACTTTTTTATCTTTTCCAAATCAAAGTCAGCTTGATAAACACGTAACATTTTAACAAAATAAAACATAAAAATAAAATAAATGATAACTCATACACGTGAGGTTCACCTAATGTTAACAATGTAATTAAAGTTGGCTAGATTTTTATCGAATTTCTCTGTGTGTATGTCTTATTTTACATATATTTTTCCATAAAATCTCTCTATTTGTGTATGGCTTATTATTTCACTTGCATATTTATTAAGAGTTTTAAATTTAAAAACAACTCTACACTCAAGTCGTAACCAAACACATAAAATGAAACTCAATTAATAAATTATTGAGTTAACTCATAACCAAACACATAACTCGAAATTCCATACTACTTTCACAACTCTACACTCAAATCATAATATGTTAAATCGTAATATTTTATTTTAAATATTTAAATAATGTAAATAATCTACAAAATTGAATAAGTAAAAAATTAAAATAAATATTCACAAAATTGAAATCGAAAAAATTTAAATAATTTAAAATGTTAATATTTTAAATTTAAAAACAACTCTACACTCAAGTCGTAACCAAACACATAAAATGAAACTCAATTAATAAATTATTGAGTTAACTCATAACCAAACACATAACTCGAAATTCCATACTACTTTCACAACTCTACACTCAAATCATAATATGTTAAATCGTAATATTTTATTTTAAATATTTAAATAATGTAAATAATCTACAAAATTGAATAAGTAAAAAATTAAAATAAATATTCACAAAATTGAAATCGAAAAAATTTAAATAATTTAAAATGTTAATATTTTAAATTTAAAAATAACTCTACACTCAAATCATAACCAAACACATAAAATAAAACTTAAGTAATAAATTATTTTTAAAACTCATAACTAAACACATAACTTGAAACTCTACAGTACTTTCACAACTCTACACGCAAATCATAACCAAATACATAACAAAAAAATTGAAAATTTTAAAACTACTTTTATAAAATAGAGTTTGAATTTATTTTTATAAAATATTTTAACAAAAAACAAAAAAAGATGTTTTTAATTTTTTTTTTCAACTTTGTTTTTTTTGGGAAAATGTGTTTTTTGGGAAAATTTTTTATTTTTTGTTTGTGCTGCCGCATGCCCCTCTTCATGAGGGGTAGTTTCGTAAATTCTCTTGACCGTTTATTGTTGCCAACTAACCGTGGCTCTTTTGTCTTTTGCTGGCTAAATTAGCCTCTCTTGACATTTAGTGGCTAATTTAGCCCGGAAGCCTTTCCCAAACGACCTCTAAATAACTTTTTGACCACATGTCAAACTTGACCTTAATATACCAACCCAAAAATAAATAAATAAATAAAATAATGCTCCACTCAACTCTAATAAATAGAAACAACCCCCCCCCCCAAAATAAAATAAAAATAAAAAAAAATAAAAAATCAACTCTATTGAGATCTGGGAAAATATGCACTATCTCATTTCCATTAACTTACTGCAGCCAAGAAAAATTTCAGAAATGAAGTCACAACTTCATATAACAACATTGACAAAATCATTAATCATATGAACTGAAAAGCTTGAAGCCTTCAACCACTCCCAATCCATTACTCAATTTACAAGTTTTTTGGGCCAACCAACAGACTATCTATGTGCCTGTTTGGCAGAACTTATTTTCAGCTTATTTCAGCTTTCAGCTTAATTTAAGTTATTTTGATGTGTTTGGTTTAGCTGATAGCTTATAACTTATAGCTTTGTGGAAGTCAGAAATCAGCTTATTCTTTGAGTAGGGCAGGAGGTGCTTTAAGAATAAGCTGGAAATCAGCTTAAGCTGAAAGTTATAAACTATAAGCTGTTTAAGCATAAGCTATAAGCACTTTCTCACAGCTCTACCAAACAGGGCCTATATATCATACTGTTATATCACCAATTTAGCATAGTGGGACCCAATTAAAGTACCTAAATAATTCATTCATTTCCAATTCATCACATAAATCACCACTAAATTACAATAATATCAAACACAGTTTTTTTTTTTTCTTTTTTTTTAATCAAGAAAACCTGTCTTCTGAAACACAGCGTTTCTCACGCGCCGCAAATCCCTTCCTTTCAGCGTTCGGCCGACGCCTTCGAACACCGAAAACGTCGTCACGTGCGACCTCGCCACAATCACGTGCGGCGGGACCATCTCCTCCTCTGCTTCTTCATCTTCCTCGTCGGCTTCATCGAAATTCCCCAAATTACTCACTCCAAACTCTCGGACTCTCTTTGGCCAAACAGGCACGTTCACCGGAGCCGATTGAGGAAACTTCCCCGCCGCCGCCGCCGCCGAGCGCAGGAGCTGCACTGGTGGAATTGTACGCGCCGCCGTAGCGGCCGAGAGGGAAGGGTTCAGAGTCGGTTTCCGGTGAACCAGAGGGCGGTGGTCGTCGGACAAGGCGGCGGAGAGGCCAGAGTTCTCGGGGTGGTGGCGGCGGCGGAGAGTTGTCGGAGAATTAGATGCTGAAGGGGGAGAATGGGAATAGAGGTCGGTGGGATCGGAGAGATCGGAGGACCAAACGACGTCGCTCTCGTCGAGCTCGAAGGGGTTTGGATCGGGATCGGGTTGTTTGAGTAGGCCCAAGAAACGGATGGTAGCATCTGCTTCTTCTCGTTGTTTGATTTTCTGTTTCATTTTCTTTACTTTTCTCGTGCAAGAAAATGTAGAGATTGGTTGGTGAGAAAATTGAGGTGATGATGAATGATGATGATGATACATACTATGTGAGATACATACTATGTGAGTAGGCAGCATTAGCAGACGGAAGACTACTTCTGATTGGTCCACGTCAGGTGCTGGTGCGAGTTGCACGACAAGACACCTGCCACACGTTTGTCAATTACTGGTGACCACAAAATTTTTGGCCAATTTTTTTTAACTCATAATGTTTCATACACATTAATTAATTAATGTATTAATAGATTATGTGACACAATTTTAATAATTGTGAATATTTATAATTTATATTACAAGTGAAATTAATAATAATATCAATAATATATATTATTATATTAATTAATTTATGTAGCATCACCTTTCTTTTCTTTTTTATAATTTTTTTTTTAATTTATACAAAAAGGGGAAAGACAAAGAAACAATTTTTTTTTTTCTTAAGAGAAAAAAAGAAGAAGGAAATAAGTTGAATTTTAGGTCTTATTTGGTAGGGGTGGGCAACAGTCTCGCAAATATAATGCGGGCGGATACAGTTTGAAATATGACAAATTTACTAGTTGCGAGCAGGTCGCGGGTTAAACCCGCAACCTACAAAAACCGTCCGCACTTTAATTATTATTATTTTTTATATACCAACGTTGTAACTTTAACTGGAGCACAATTATATTCTCTATGATACTAAGATCCTTATTTTTAAGTATTTTTCAACTTTCTTAATGCCGTAGAATTATCGAGTCCTAAACTTGGTTTCTTATATGATTTTCATTAGTGACTCATTAACTTTTTCCTAATAAAATTTTCTTTCTGGTGGTCGATGGAGCTTCTAGTTTGATTATTGATTACTGAACTGGTAATTCTAATTGAATACAACTTTTAATACATTGATATGCATTTTTTCATGGCAAAAATGCTAGTGTAGGGTCTCTTTGTTTTGGGTACTTTCATTTAATGTATTGATTTTCAATTTTTATTTGTAAACTCATCAGAAAATTGTTGTCAAATGATCACAAATATATAAAATGAATCTGATGTCTAAATTCGATGGGAAAAAAAAACTCAAAAATTAATTTTTAAAGAAAAAAGTGTAAATCGCAAACCGCTCGCACATCTGCAAACTCTATCCGCACAAACCGCAAACCGCACTGCGGGCGGTTGTGGGTTGACTTTTTCTTAAACCGTATAGATGTGAGCGGGTCAAAATTGAACCATAAACCGCACAAAATCGATCCGTGAGCATCCTTACTATTAGAGTGTTTACTTTTTATTTAAAATGATTAAAAAATCAAAACAAGTCGATGGGGTGTGTTGATTTTTTTATTATTTTAATAATAAAAAAAAACTAACACACAAGTGAGGCTTAAGTAAGGTTCTTTATTTATTTTTTATTTTATTTTGAAAACAATAGTATTTGATGTGTTTAATTTCAGTTTTTTGAATTTAATTTTTTAAAAATTAAGTTTTTTATTTTTGTGTTTTTTTGTAGTGAATATTTTTAAATTTTAAATATTTTCTTTTTTACTTTTTTAGATACATCAGTAAGATGTATCTAAATAGTAAAATATTTGTGAAAAAATATTTTAAAAAATTAATAAATACACAAAAATATGAAAAAATGTATTAAATTTTTGTATTTCTTTTATATTTTTTGGTATTTAGTGTATTTTTTAAAGATTTTTTTCACAAATATTATACTTTTTAAGTGTATTTATGTTAGGTGTGTCTAAATTTTTTTTAAAAATTACTTAAAATATTAAAAAAATTTATTGAAAACATTAAAATATTGAAGAATTTTCTGAAAATCAGAACCAAACAAGCGTATTAGATTTTGTAATGTCGACTTAAAATTTTAAAAAGTAATTTGTAGATAAAATCTTCATACATAAAATTTAGGGATAGTTTGAAAATACACTAAATAAGTGCACTTATTTACTATAAATTGTCACATTATCTCTCTATTTTTCTACATATCTTTAAATAAATTTCAAAAAGTTATTTCATTCTATGTTTAGAGTTTAAGTGACAGTATTATTTTTGAAATTATAAGTTATATTTATGGTGATTTAGTTTGAAATGAAATTTTACAAACAGTTATTTCATTCTATGTTAAAATTTATACAAAAATCACATTTTTGTATATCGTTTGCCTAAAAACTTAGCTTTATAGACATGTTTAAACTTTGTTTGTTTATTTTTTTGACTCAATTCAAATGAATTTGATTGAACCAAGCTCACGTAAATTTGTATTTTATAAAACATATAATTAAGTTTATCGAGTTGAGTTAAAAAAATAACGAGTTTTGAAATTTGTTCATTAATTAATTTATTTATTTATATAATGAGTCCACCTTAAACAATTTTTAACAAGTTAAATACAAATCAAACTCAAATAATTTAGTTAGGCTTGTTTTGGGAAGTGGGTTAAAAGTTGATTTTAAATTTTTTTTTTTTTTAAAAAAGTGCAAAAAAATAGAGAAACAATTTGACCCCAAAAAAACTAAAAAGCAAAAAAATTGGCTTTTAGCCATATTCCCAAAACAGATCTTCATTTTAGAGCTTTTAATGGCCTCGTTTGGGAGGTGACTACTTTTTTGGCTTTCTGGCTATTTGATTATTTTAATAGGCTATTTTAGTTTTTGCGTTTGAAAAATTGGGTTGAATTTTTTGGTTAAAGAATGTGTTTGAAATGACGTTTGAGACTGAAATGGCAAATTTGTTCCTAACCTCACTTTTTCCAAAATTAGTTTAAGGGCAAAATTGTCATTTATTACTTGTGGGATAAGCTGGTAGGTTCTTCCTAACCTCACTTTTTTTTTTTAATTATTTTTATTTTAGTATAGGTTAGTGGCTTAGGCTACCGTTTGAGGCTATTTGACTTTTTTAGTGTTTGAGACTATTTTAGCTTCAAACTTGAATTTCCAAACAGGGCTATTATTCTATTTCATACATTGTATAGGTCATCTATTAGCTCAAAACTATTTACTAGTCAATGGCCTTGTTTGGGAAGTTAGCTATTTTAGTATGCTATTTGTTGGCTACATATTTTGTACAAGCCAGTTTCAATTTGACGCGTGGCAAAGTAAGGGTAGTACGGGGAGACTATTCAAATATTCGATCCTGATCGTACACGTGGCAGTTAGTATTGGTTGTTATGAGATCTGAGTAGCAGTGGATCAACAAAGAGATACAAGGTGATGTGGCATCAACGGTTACTCACATTTAAATTCAAATTTATGAGGGAAGCCTAACTGCAAGTGATGGCGTAGTGGAGCTAATCTTGAGGCTACATGATCAGCGATCATGGGGGAGCAATTCAACGGTTGGAAATACAGTTCGATGGTCATCCTTAAGCAGTATAAATAGTAGAGAAAGCCCCAGAAAAAAACCCCCAGACTCAGATCCAAAAAACCAGTCCTTTATACTTATTTTCCTTTCTAGCTTTACATTTACAGTTTTTTTACATTTACAGTTCTTTACATTACTGTACTTTAAAATTCCTGCACTGCACTTCGTTTCATAGGAGTAGTTCCAAGTAGAGTTGCTGTAAACCTCTACGAGGCTGAGTTTGGATCATTGTAAGTCTTTTCATCTTAATGAAATACTTCGACTGTTCTTCAATTCATTGTTATCTATTTAATTCTCCAAAGTCAAGCCACCAGTAAAAGTCCTCTTTATTGAGGCTGAAAGAACTAAAACACAATCGTCTGATAATTGGTTGGCAATTAATTTTCTGTAAGGACTAATTGATTCTTGCTAGTACGCTCGCAATTACAACAATAACCTTCGAAAGCCAAAAAGCCAACATATATTTTTGGCACGCCCAATGGGACTCGTCTTAAAATGGCTAGACGTAGGAAACAAGGAGAAAATGAATGCTTGGAAGAAGGCGTGGAAGGAGAGGTAGAGATACCTAATCCAGAAGATAATGTGATAACATTTCCTCTGGAAACTCCAATTTATCAGAACCTATGGTTGAACAGACTAGTACTTCAGAACAAATACCACATGTTCGTAATATTGGACGAGATCAAGGAATTGGACCATCTACTGTCCCATCTACTCAGGCAATGAATCCATGGGGAGGCTTAATAGATGTAATAGGACAACAATTAATGAACACAATGGAAAGGTGGGCAACATCCTTTTTGGATCGAATGAATAACCACCAACTAACAAACGTAAGACACATGGAGGAAATTTTGAATGTCCCTCAACAAAGATTGGCTAGAGATAAATAGCCTATGCAAGTTAATGGACATTCTAATGGTCAAACTAGTAATCAGAATCATGAAAGACCATCACCCCAATCTTGGTACGAACCTGTTCCAAGGCTTGTAGTAGGTCAAAATGTCTCAGTACTTAACAGTGAAGCCATGCAATTTGGTGGAACTGGTCTAGTACAAGAAAATGGCGTAAGAATGGTTCCAAATCCCATGTTCGAAGCCATACCTGGCACAAGGGGGTTCACTAATCCCTTATTCGAATTTATACCTGGGGGGTTGGAAGGTTTTCCTACAAATGGAAGTGACACAACACCAGTTCCAGCACCTTTCGCAGGTCCTTTCGTAGGACAAATTCAAAGGAGTTACCCACACCCCCAACAACAACCTGCACCACAGGGACAACCAGTCCCAAACATGCCACCTTATGGACCAAGAGGACCACAAGCACAAGTTTGTCCACCAAATCCTGTGTTTGTCCCCCCAGTAGTGGTTCAGCATGCACAAAATATGGTCCCTAGGGACCAAATTGCTGACATCGTTAGGGAGATGTGTGAACCAATGGCTTGGGGGGTCCAGACTCCTGTATACAGAAAACCATACCCAGAATGGGTAGATAGGGTACATGAATACCCAAGAGGTTTCAGGATACCAGATTTCGCCATTTTTTATGGGAATGAAAACCAGTCAACAGTAGAGCACATCGCTAGGTTCGCTGCTCAATGCGGTGAATTCACTAATAATGATTATGTGAAGCTAAGACTATTCCCAAACTCTCTAACTGGGGGAGCATTTGTATGGTACATTAACCTTACACCTGGCTCAAT